GCTGGAGAATGGGCCATTGTGCAGGGCAGGCCAGGTGCTTGATAGCCATGCCATAAGATAGCACACAGCCCAGAATTGCTATAGAGACAGCTTACAAAAAGTGCTAGATTTGGAATTTGCCCTTCTAATTAAAAAAAAAAAGCATCAGCACCCTGTTAGATTTTAAAGATCTGAGTTCATATAATGGAGTAATAGAAGGCAGAGAAAGAAGGGTTAAGTCCAAGGGTCCTAGTACAATAATTCCAAGTGTATTTTATTTCAAGATGATCGGCGCAGCTTTATGGATGGAAGACAGGAGGAGAAAGAGAGGAAAAGAGATGGGGGGGGAGAACATGAATGAATGTTTAGGTGACTTTTCTGGAGGTACTCAGGAGGGAGAAAGAAACCAGGCCTCAATCCTCAGCCCAAGGTGAAGATTCACATATCGGCCTATAGTGCCCTAAGCAGCTTCGTATATGTATAGGGGTGGCCCCCAAAGATGGAATCCCTCTTTGGCAAAGCCTTTGTATCTGGGTACAGCTTAAAATAAGATTAACCAGGGAAATCTGGGGGCAACAAGCTGCAACTGACTTAGTGGCAAAGGACTCTTTCCCACCACCAAGGCAGCTATGCCCTGGACTAAATGTTTAAAAAGGTTCAGTGACAGTAAAATACAGCTTTGGGCAAACTTTTCCAAGGCAATATTTAACTTCCCCAAAATATCTTCCCCAACCATGCCTGATTTCACCAAGCTAGTTTCCTCTAAAATATGCATCCACAGAAAACTCTAAAGTCGCTAACCTTTCTTTTCTGCCAACCCAGGCCACAGGATGGCTCTAATCTAGAACAAAGGTGACAGCAACTCTAGCAGGACCAATTTCCAAATATTTAGGGGAAAGGCACCAATAATCCAGTTTTCAAACCAGAGAAGCCCTTCACCTCATGGCACCTGGCACACAGTAGGCACCTACTAAATGCTGGCTGCTATACCACTTCATGCTTCCAGGAAAATCAATTTCACTGATTCACAAAACTTTTGAGCTGAATGGAGCCTTTGGCAATCCTCTACTCCAAACGTTAGCCAAGTGACTGGCCCCAATCACAGAACATGGTAGAAATGAGGCTAGAACTCAGCCTGGCATTCTTCCTTCAGCAACACATGCTAACATGAGATTTCCATTCTCCACATATTCTTGTCACTGTCCCACAAGGTGGAACTGGAGACTCACACCAACTGGTCACTGGAACTCGTTAATACTCTGCTGGTGTCATTCAGAGGCTGCATTCCTTCACTCACTCAACAAATATTTACCTCTTATGTGCAAGGCTGCTGAGTAATAGGGTTTAAAATGAACTGCAACAGCCCACACAATGAAGCCCTGGCTCGTGCTGTCCTGTAACTGCAGGCAGGGAGCCACTGGCATGAGACATAATTCCATTTAGAAGAAAATGGACTGGAACACAACTGATGGCTTGACTGCCTCTGGAGAACAGGCCAGTCACTTGCTCCTGACTCAATGCCAAGGACTCTGGGACCATACACAAGTCCTATATCTGCTAACGAGTGACCCAAATTCCCTTTGGCTAAAGAATATAAAAGCCAGGGATCAGGTGCAAGCTCCATGGATCTCGCTAGACACCAAGTGAGCTCTACCCTTCATCTCAATAAATGCCTAGAAGACAATCCACACCATTACCCAGGAGAAGCTAAAGATGTCTTGGGTTCAACTCTAACCTATCCAAGGAGTCACTTTTTCCATGATCCTAACCACTAGGCCCCTGGCACAACTCTCGGCCTGGGTCATCGAGAGATCTGACCCCCATGGCTTAATAATACGGTAGGGATCCTAATCCCACACTAGACAGCTGGTCTAGCTCCAGTTTAATCTGTGCTAGTTCAGCACAGGTTCAGACTAAGGCTCCGATCTGTACTTAAACCCATGTCTGTAGATACATTTTAAAGGCCCACATATCTAAGAGGTGCGAGCATTTACTCATGAAACCATCATTGAACCTCCTGCTAGATACTGCATGCAAAGCTTCAGCATGGCTATCAAGTTTCCCTCACTGAAACCAGAAGTTGTTCAGAGGCAGGTAAAAAGGGGGGGGGGGAATAAGAGAAGGGAGGAGAGATAGAATGGAGGGCAGATTAGGGGAAAGGGGTATTCAGAATGCATGCCATCTTGGGGTGGGGGGAGGGACATGATGGGGAGAAAATCTGGAACTCAAAATCTTATGGAAATGAATGTTGAAAAACTAAAAATAAATTAATTTTTAAAAAAGTGGTGGGGAGGGAAAAGGAAACTCTGGCCTGATGGGGCTCTCCTCCTTTAAAGGCCCAGAACTAGCGGCACGAGGATGCCTGCAGCTCCTCACAAAAAGGGGGAGACAAGCCTCGATGCACAAAAAATGGAACCTCAGAGTGAAAAATCTCTTCCAACCCACTCACTGTAATATATAAAGAAGAAATTTAGCCTGAAAGGGTAAATCACAAGCTAGTGAGCCCCAAGTCACAGAGCCAGGTTAGCAGGAGAAAGGGTACCAGAGCCAAACACTCCAGATTTCCACACGGTCTGCCAAGGTAGTAACTGTCACCAATGACCAATCTTCTGCCTCAGTTTCCCCATTCCAGAGATGTTACTGAGGATGAAAGCCAGCCAATGAGGATTTAGCATAACCCCAGTCACTGATACACCTTAAGAGAGTAGTATCAGGTCAGAAAACAAAACAGACCAAAGATGCCTCAAAAGTCTTCTAGAATATATACAACCCCAATATCCAATTCACGCCAATCACACTTTAAACTGACTGGAGCCTTAGAAGAGCTAAAAATCAAGCTAGCTTCTCTGCAAATACCTCTGCTAGGACTGGTCCCAGCAAAGGCACGAGACCAAAAGAATGCAGAGTCCCAGATGAGTGTCAGGCCTTGGATCATTTAGTCCACTCCCCCTCTACAAATGCTCCATGAAAAGGACTGGCCCTCGTTCTGTCTCCCAAAAGAAAACAGACGCATCTAATCCCTCTTTCACAAGCAAGAGGTTAGAGGGATCATTCTATCGATCATACCTGAAAATGGTTTGCATCCAACCCTAACTATAAACATACAAGCCCACATCACTTCAATTCACACCAATTTAGCCATTATTCCCAGTAGAGAGAAAGAACAACGGCAAAGACTGACATTCCAAAGGTTAGCAAAGACCAGCCATAATCTGTATCGTAAGAGTCATCCCAATACTTGGGGAAGTCAAGCACCATGGCCAACTAGATGCCTAGCCAGGCAGGGTAACCTATCTGGATAAAAATGTACCCACTTGCTTCACTTTTCTACATTCATACACCCAGTGCAGACCAACAGATCTTCCAGCTGAGAGTTCAAGCACCCTTCTGACCAGAATTACTGGGGATGATGGGACTAAGTACCAGCTGCCTGCTCAGCTCGTAGGCACTGAAGATGTAGGTGGCCAACAGACATTTTCAGCTGAATTATCCTTTATGTTGGCCAGATGATTTTCCCCAAATCTCCAAGAGGTTTAGATTCATAAACTGCTGAAGCTACAAGGGATGGCCTAATCCCAACCTCTCATTTTCAAAATAAACAGGACCAATAAACAGCCACTTCTACAAGTCTCACCCAAATACAACACTTTCTTCTGCCTTAACTTACAAATATCTCCTTAGCTAATCTGCTACCCAATCCCAATTCCCAACGCCCTACTTGGTCATTACATTTTTCTCCTGGGCTCTGCCTTATTCTGTTCTCTGACTCAATTTAACAAATCCTGATAGAATTCCGGAGATCATCCGATCCAATGGCCTCATTTTCTATAGTAAACTAGGACCCAAAGGAGGGGAGAATGGTCACACAAAATCCCATCACAGAAAACTGTAAAGTCTTATATTCTTATGGCGTTGGAATTTTATCCCTTCTAACTTCAAATTAGCAGACCATCAAAATCTTTTGGTTACAAACAGATTCAGATCACAGCGTTATGTTTTCCTGGGATTTGGCCCGTGCTCTGCTATGGAAAATATCATCTAAACCTCATTGCTGTATGATGTTTCAATGGTTCCAACCACCACATAGCAACACAAAAGCATTACTTATTACAAAGAATGGCACCCACAAAGTTAACTATTTTTCCTATGTCACAAGATGGGGAAAAAAGGAGCAAGAACCAGGCCATTTTGCCTGAAAAGAAACAAACATGGCACAAGAGAGAAGTTTCTACACCAACAAATCTAGAAATCTTCTTTCACATTTATAATCAAATGTTTATTTCTAACCTTGCAAACCAGGAAACAAACCCTAAATCTCAGAAGCAAGACAAGAGCACACTCACTGTCCTTTGGGAGAAACATTTCTAGCTAGAGGGAAAAAAAAAAAAGGAGGAGGGGAAGGGACTATCTCCAAACAGCTGCTTCTATGGAATCTGGGGGTTTTGAATAATATAAAATATGAAACTACTCAGTTCCATCCAACTGTTTGTGAGACCAAGGTCAGGATATGCATTTTAAAAATACCCTCTTTGGGAAAGCAACTGATTTTTAAAGAGGATTCTGGCTCCTACATCTCTAACATTTTTCTGTTGAGAGGTTTTTGTTAATGTTTAATAAGTCCTAATATTTTTTTCCTTAGACTGGGGGGAAAAACCCTTTGTGACACTTGGACACACTCCTTTTAACTGCTTGCACACAAAACTGACTTTTTCAGAAGGCAGGCTATGAAACATAATTCTTCTACCCTTTCAAATGTGTTATTTACTAGATGTGCTGACAAGGATTCCCTAAATAACCCCCTTTTCTTTTTTGCAACATCCAGAATTTTTTTTTGAACTATACTGAGTACATCAGTTGTTTTTTTTTTTAAAAAGTGATACTGTAGCAAAGAATTTACCAAAAGCACAACACAATGTTTAAGACTAGGCCTTTTTTTTTTTTGCTTTACTGGACTACATTTCATTTTCCTTTTAAACTAAAAAGATACATTGGTGCTGGTCTGTGTTAGGGGCGGGGAGAGGCTTGGGGGAGTTAGGGCCAAAATGTACCCTGCAAGTAGAACAGACTTACATGACAAGAGAAACAGTTTCAACTATTTCTTTAAAACACTGTTTCATCTTGGAATATGCACTATCCGATACACTCAATCTAAAAAAAAAGAACTTTAGAAAATGAGCATCCTTTCCCACTGACCCAAGCACCAAGCCTTTGCCGAAAGGTCTCTCATTTCAAACAGTAACAGAAAGCTGCTGATAGCTATTCTTGGCCAGTGGCCTCTTTGGGGGTCAGGGTGGATTTCACACTGGAAGGGAAACACAACTTAAAAGAAATTCAGTTCCCTTTAGTTTGGTCCTAGCAAGAATGGTTTTCTGAAACATGTGCTCCCTGTGGGTGCTTCAGACATCTGGGCTTTGGCTTCTATGGCTATGTCACAATGCCGAGCTGTGTGGTCACACCAGGCTCTCCCTCTCAGGCACTGACATCAGGGACACATGATCCCTGATTGCAGGTCAGACCAAAGAGGTTATGAAGCCACAAACGTGGGGAAAGCAGTAGGAACATGGGAGGGCAGTGGCCAACTGAACTCGAATCTGGACGGTGGTTCCTTTTCCCCCCAAAAGTGAGTCCTTTTTAATACAGACTTGTGGATGGGGCAGGGACTACACGTGAGGGAAGGTAAAGGGTCCTTATTTGTATGGTACCAACACATGGCAAAAGGGGGGAATGGAGGTTCAACATGTGTTTTGTATTTTTCAAAGAAACTTATGCTTGTAAAACACATCAGTTGTGCAGTACTGCAAGTCCTTTTGTTGGTGCTTTTTTTTCCCTTTGTACATGAAGGACAGAGGTATATACTGGGAGGAGGGGCAGAGGGGTGTACTGACCACCATGATTGAGTGTGCAACACATTCACATGAACTTTTCACTGTAAGGCACGTGCTTAACAAAGGAACAGTAGAAGCAGCCAGAAGCTTGGGACTGGACAGTTCACAGAGTTTGTGCTTCAACAGTATGTTACAAATGACTTGGTCAGCTTAAACTTCCATCAAGTATCGACTGAAACACTGTAAGACACAGGAGGATATGTGAGAGAAAACGTGGACCACGTCCCCCCCAGTAAGGGGTTGGGGGGAGCAGCAGAGCGGGCTGTCGGTTTAACAAGAGCAGATCACATTTTTCTGTCCTATAGACATAGGCATGGACTGGCACACTGATACAGTATCCACTTTCTTCATAAAGGGATGAAGGCTGGAGACCAAGCCATGGATCTGAGGGGCAGAAGGTCAAAGCACGACCACGTGTAGGTTTCTGTCAGTTACTACTTGAGAATGATACAGTAGACTTTTAAAAAAAAAAAAGAAAGAAAACTGTGCACTTTCAGGGATAAATTAAAATTAAAATGATTAACTTGTAAGGATGTGCAACTCTAAAGAGCCAATAGGATTAGAGGTCCTGGTTTCAACAAACTAACTCTTTTAAAAGCATCTCTTTGGTCTTGGGCTAAGGAAGGAAGCAAAGAGAGAACTAATTTAATTACTTAATAAAAGAGACTACTTACCATCCCAACCCCTTGCAAGACATACACTTCTGACATAAGAGAATTCCTGAGAGGCTCGCTAATGAGTGTAAGCAGCTTGTGGTAAAGCGGGGATCCCCAGGAGGGGATGGGGCAGCCTGAAGAGAAACCTGGGCTTAGCAAACACTCATTTGCTAATCTGTTTATTTTCTCCATCTGTAGGCTGGCAGCAGTCAGGAAGTAGGGGTTTAAAAAAAATGCTCACCAAACAGTTGTGCTTGTGTCTTTGAACGTGGGTGTTTTTTTCCTTTGAAAAGACAAGTTAGGCTCTCTAAAGAGAGCCAAATTCAGGGTCCTGCGGGGAAAGGGGAGCTTGGGGTAGTGGTACCTGGAGCCCAGCAACTTCCCGGAGAGTCCCAGCTGTGGAGTGAATCCTTGCAAGCGGGAAGGGCAGTGGGTTGGGGTCGGGTGGGGTGGGGTTAGAGGGAGCACCAGACACTTGGGACACACTTCCTGTTTCTGGCCTCACCCAACCCACGTTAACTAAACTGCACCCACCCGGGAAAACCTGCCTTCTCCTCCCGCCCCATACCACACCACTCTCAGAAGTCAGGATTCCTCAAGCCACTCCCTAAAAAATAAATAAAGATTTAAGGGAAATTTTTCTTCTAAGAGAAAGAATCCTAAATTTGCCCTGAGTACTCCCTGTCGTTTGAAAGCAAGATCTCCCCACTTTAGTCCCCAAGAAAGTGTGTGGGAAGGAATTCGGCCCCAATGCTTTCTTTCAAAAAGAGGGGAGTGGGTTCCTGACTTGATCCTCTCTGAAATGGGCCTCTCCCAAATCCAGGCCCTCGGAGCGGAAAGAGAACCAGAGAAGGAGGGAGAACGAGACAAAAGGGGGGGGGAGGACAGCGAGAGAAGCGGGGAGCAGGGCAAGGTGGGGCTCGCGGATCCCTGTCTAGGCAGCGTGGTCCAGGCACGAGGCCCACGTGGTCCCGAGCCGCCCCGGTCTCGGGGCCCCCCGCCCCTCCCCCACCCCGGGCCCCGAGCGCCCCTCTCCCCGCGGGGGGCCGGGGCCGGGGGCGGTCGCTCACCTTGCCTGCAGCATGGCGCCCGGAGTGAGACCGAGGCAGGAGGGGGAGGGGAGAGCAGGGGGAGGGGAGAGCTGGCCGGCAGCGGCGGCGGGCGGGCTGGCGGGAGCCCGACCCCGCCCTTCCTTCCTTCCTCCCCCCTCCCCGGCCTCCCTCCCCTCCCCCCATCATGGCCGCCCCCGCCCCCTCCCCCCCGCCGCCGCCGCCACTGCCGGGTTACCCGACCTGTCGTCAGGGAGCAGGCTGAGGCCGGGGCGCTGGAGCTCACGCTGGGCGGTGGGGGACAGCGGCGGCGGCGAGGACGAGGAGGGCGGCGGTGGCGGGTCCGAGGCGGCGGCGGCGGCAGGGGGCGAGCCCGGCGAGCCGCCCTCCATGGCGGCGCGGCGCGGCCCGCGCCCCCGCCCCGCCCCGGGCCGCGGGGCCGCGGAGGCGGGCGCCCCCTCACAGGCCGCCCGGCCCCGAAGCCCGGGCCCTCATCGGGGCAGGCGGGCGGCGGGCGGGGAGCGGCGGCGGGGGGCTGGGGCCGGGGCCGGGCGGGGGGCTGGGCCGGCGGGGACGGGACGGGGGGCGGCGGGAGCGCCGAGCGGGCGCGGGCCCGGGACGAGGCCGAGGACGAGAAGGAGGCGGCGGCGATGGGAGGCGCTCGGCCCCTTCCGGGACTCCCTGCGGGACGCCCTCCCGCCCTCCTGCCCTCCTGCCCTCCCTCAGCGCCGGCTGCCCGCGCCCGCCGCGCTCGGGACTGCACACAAAATGGCGGCGGCTGCGAGCGGACGCTGAGGCGGGGGGGGGAGGAGAGAGGAGGAGCGGCGGCGGGCCGGCGGCGCGGCGGCCCAGGCCTCCGAGAGGGAGGGGCGGGGCGGCGAGGCGCGTCACGTCCCGGAGACGGCGGAGAGGGCCGAGGACCCGAGGGGCGGGGCCGGGGGCAGGCGAAGGGCGGTGGAAAGAGCCCGGAGTTACCGCGGGGGCGGGGAAGACGGCCTGGAGGCGGGAGAAAGGGCCGAAAGTTAGGAGTGGGGCGGGGAAGGGGGCGGAGCGAAAGGAGGAAGGGGGCGGGGACGAGGAGGCGGGGAAAGAGCCGAAACTCGCTAATGGGGCGGGGCCCGGAGCCGCGCGGAGAGCCGCAGGGCGGGCCTAGGCGAGGCGGAGAGAGCCGAGAGGGGGGGGCCGGGGCGTGAGAGTGTGAAAAAGACAAAAGTTACTGAGGAGGCGGGACCTGGGGAAGAGAAGCCAAGCTAGGGCAGTGAGGGGGCGGGGCCTAGGGGAGCCTCCGGGCCCGTGAGAGGAGGGCGGGAGCGCTCGGCGGGAAGCCTGGGCCGAGCCCGGAGGAGGGCTCCCGGAAGGGGGAGTGGGAGAGCGCCAAGAACAAGGGGGATCCGGGACTCCCAACCTCTGCTCCGCGAACTGCCGCCTGTGGCCGCTTGGGTGTGTCGGAGGAGGCGCTTGATCCCAGATCCTCCCGACTTGGAAGCTGCCGGGACTGAGCCTGGAGTCCGAGAGACACGAGTTCAAATGCTACCAGTGTTACCCTGGACCAAACACTTGCCTTCCCTCTGCCCCAATTTCCTCATCGGTGAAAAGGAGATAATAATCGCGCCTGCCTCCGGGGCAGTTGAGGATCAAACAAGTTAATGTGTACATGCATTTCATCGATGCTCGCTGTTACACTTGGGTAGCAGCAGTAACTCACGATTACTCCCCTTAATAAAAAGGATTTGTTCTGTAAAACTTGGACTCAACCAAAAGGAGGCACCTGAGGACCTAGAAGGCCACACGTGGCCTCCAGGCCGAGGGTCCTCCACCCCTGGCATGGACTCTTCTCACAGGACCTCTGGCCTTTAGAATACCACAAGATTGTTCCATCTTGGGGGCAGCTAGGTTGGCTCAGTGGATAGAGCACTGGCCCTGAAGTCAGGAGAACCTGAGTTCAAATCTGGTCTCAGACCAAACTCTTGACACTTACTAGCTGTGTGACCTTGGACAAGTCACTTAACCTCAATTGCCTAAAAAAAAATTGCTCCATCTTGCTACTTCATCTAAGAAAAGGTCTCCTCCCAGACAGAAGTAGGGATGGGATCAATATAGCCATCATGTGGCTTTGAAGCCATATTGCAATCTAAGCCTCATCCCGAGGCTTAGAGCATTCTTCACTGGAACACAGCCAGGAAAGGAAATAGGTCAAGTTACAGGTACACACATTCCCTCCCCCATTCTTTTGTACGTGGACACACACACACACACACACACACCACACACACACACACACCACACACACATGCTTGTTGACTTATACACTCCTTTCCGGCTCAGCAGCTTCCCCAATTAAAAAACTTGAATCAGCCCCATTACACATGCCTGGAAGCAAGCTTACTCAGCCTGGAATGCGGTAGCAAAATGGCCCACTTGCTCAAAGCCCCCAGAACTTTGACTAGCCATTTCCCCTCATTCATGTGTTAATAAGTATCAAGTCATTTCCAGATAGGTAGAGGATGAGGAAACTAGGGCTGAAAGGATAAGCCCAAGATCCCTAGCATTTGACCTTGTTGTCAGGAGACCTGGGTTCAAATTCCGAGTTTCACGAATTACTCATGCGACTGAGCAGGTCAACTTACTTTCTTAATCTATAAAAATGCAGACGATTGTCAGCAAGCATATATTTTCTTTACCCACAATTGCCAAATTGATATTCCTATAACAGATCTGACTCTGTTAGTCCCCCCTGCTCAGAAACCTTCAACAACTCTCAATTGCCTCTTAGATAGCATGTAACTTCCTCAGCCTGGCATTCCAAGGCCTTTACACTGTCTTCCTACCTTGCTAGATAGAGATTCCCTATTCTAGATCCCTGCGCTATGTAGCTATGTAAAAGTTCTGATGTGGTTTGGGATTGCTGGGAACCCCAAAATGTCAGGGTACAGGGTGTCATCTTCCTGGAATGAATTCAAGCACTCAAACCTTCCAGTCGAATAATAAGGTTTATTGTAATGCCAGTAGCAGCAGTTGGGGTTCCTAGTGAACCTGCAACTCAATGGGAGTGAGACTGATACTTATATACAAAAAGGACAGTGAAAGTATCTGAATGAGATTAAGGAGTGATAAGTGGGGGGGGGGGGGCAAATGCAATAGTGAAAGGAGTATTAAGTCATCTGGGCCAAGAGTGACAGTGAAAGGATGGTCAAGTAAGCTAAGTAAGTGATCTAGGTGGGCTGGGGTGGGCCAGGGGCCTTGGTCAGAGATGCCACTGATCTGGGCTACTGAAATGGTATGGGAAAATTCAGTGACTGGGTTGCTTTCAAAGATATGGTCTTTTTCCTTTCAGGGGTTCAGGTCCCATCACTCTATCAGTTCTCCCCACAAATGAAATGCATGCCTTCCTCGCTTTTGCCCCTCTGTTTTCAGCTACGTCCGACTCTTTGTGACCCTATTTGAGGTTTTCTTGCAGAGATATTGGAGTGGTTCGCCATTTCCTTTGCCAGATTCCTTTTCCAGTTGAGGAAACTGAGGCAAACAGGGTTAAGTGACTTGCCCAGGGTCATACAGCTCAGTGTCTGAGGCCAGCTTTGAACTCAGGAAGATGAGTCTTCCTGACTCCAGGCCCAGCACTCTATTCACTTCACCACCTAGCTGGTGAATCTCTAGAGTGCTTCAAAGTACAGGGCCACTTTCTAAATTAGGCCTTTTCTGATTTCCGCTGTTATTAACAGACTCTGTATCTTGGAATTACTTTGTATTACTTTGCATATAGATCAGTTCAAAATGCCTTTATTGTCTCATTCCAGGCACTGTGCTAAGCTTGGAGACAGAGACAAAAATGAAAAAGCCTCTGTCCCCCAGGAGCTTATCATCCTTTTTTGGGGGGGAGGGGGGGAGAACATGTACATAGAAAAGCAAATAAATATTCAAAATAATGGGGGAGGCAGGCAGGCACACCTTTAACGTAAAGGGCAATTTGTTACCAATAGGGTAGGGAGTGCAGAGGATGAACTAAAGGGTCAGGTGGAGTGGGAAAAGGGCCCAGGAGAAACCTGCAGCTGGCAAGAATGGGTAGGGGTGACAGTGCCTGGGCAGCCGAAGCCTCAACAGCCCTGTAATTCTGAGCAAAGACTATTTTGTCATGCCTTTGCCAAGTCACCCACAGCTACAATAACATGCCACTCCCTGAAGAGTACCTGAGGGTTGTTGAGAAATCCCTGATCCTGCCTCATCCTCCCAGAAATCTGGGACCTACCTACCCATAAGCACCTATAGAGCCCTAAGGAGAGTGGGCTCAGGCTTAGGGAGCACATGGGGGGCAAAAGGGTCACTCAGCCGCTGATTGCTGGAAGTCTTCACCCAGTATCCCAGGGGCATGGCAGTAGTTTCTCTCCTGGGCTCTGTCAACTAGGGACCCCTTAACAGCTCCTAGTGGAGGCATGAAACCAGGTCCATTGGGACCCTGACTCCCAATCTCTTCACTTCTGTCAGCTCTTTTGGGGGATGTCACTAGCTCCCCAGGATGTGAAGATAAGTCATCTGGACCCTTCAAAGCTCACAGGGTCCTCCTCTGACCAAAGTGGCCTCCAAGGTAACTCCAAACCCTCTCCTTCCTCCCTTCACCCCACGAAAGGTTTCTTTTCAGGGATCTTACTGGAATGCCATGTTTATTCCCATTTCTGGAATTACCCCAGTTCTAACTACCTCCATAACTTGTAGATGGGCCCTAGGGCATGGCCAGTCTTGTGCAATGTCACTCATTGGAAGGACTTTTCACACTTAATCTAAAGTCCAGAGTTGACTCATTGAAGCACCTTGGAAGCTAGTTAAGGTCAGTCAGTCAAGAAGTAGATTTCCTTATGAGCTCAACAGAAGGTTGCTATGTTAGGAAACAACCTAAGCATGATGGGATTGTCATGTTTGCCTGGGCCCAATCTTGTGATTGTCATCAGTGAGGAATTACACTACTTAACAATGATTCACAAGCTGCAACCCTTACAACATCCACTTCCACAAGCAAACTTCAGGCCTTTTTGCAAGACAGAGAGACATATTTATTGTA